GTTAATATTAAAGAGGAAGAGAATGTGCAGAGCAATTTTGATGGAAATAAACTTGTTCTGGAAATAGGTGAAAAGAGCTAAAGAAGGAGACTTCAGCAGAGTGAACGAATTACAAATAATGTGATAAAATGATAAAACTGAAATGAGGGAATCCTGGAAATGGTATTATATAGATGCATATGAAAATAATAATGGTATGTTGAGGAGTGTTGCTGTTGTTTCAGTTTGCCTAGATTGAAACAACAGGAAAAATATATTATGAATAGAATTAAGGGTTCCAAGGGTAAGAATTATGATGATTCTGAATGAATTCATTCCTTTTTAAAATTTTTATATATTCACCTCTATGATACTGACTCAGCAGTTGCTGATGCAGAAGCTTTGTGACTAAATTAAATCTTCAAAGGTTTTGCAAGATTAAATTGCTGATTTTGCTGCACCATTACCATTACAGAAAATAACTATTTTTAAATCCATGAAAATAGGGAATTCCTCTGGTTCAAATACTGCAGATGTCCTATAAAAATTATTTAAGATAGACATGGGCTTTTCCCTGTTTCTTTCCATAGATTTATGTAACAATACTATTGAAACTAGGTAAATCCTTGGTGGAGTGTGGAAGCTATTGCCCAATTTCTTTGCTAAATATAAATGTTAAAATTTTGACAGCAACTCTGACAGAGAGATTACAAATTAAGTCACATTTAATAATTCATCCAGTACTATCTGGTTTTATAAATATGACAAGCTTCAGATAATATTAGATTGTTAGAGATCAGAGAAATTTGAATAGACCATTCTGGCTGTGAGGTCTGAATGAGGAAGAGCAGGCTAAGGTTCAAACCAAACAAGAGTGCCATTGAGTCCAGGATAGTACCAACTTTAGCTCTAGATAGGGTCATGCTCCCACTGAAAGGTCAGGCCCATAATCTGGGAATGTTCCTGGACTCACAGCTCCTGGTGGGATGTAGGAGGTTATCTGTTACCAGGAAAGTTTTCGCACAGTTTTGGTCTTTTCTTGAACAATTCCTTGTTGCACCCTTTCGAGCAATGGGAGATTTTGACAAGAGTTACTAAGTTCTTATCACCTCATACCCGGACTACTGTAATTTGCTTTATATGGAGTTGTTGTTAAAGACAATCTGGGGTAGAACATGAGTGTTTCCATGGTAATGATGAAAACGCATTACTATTCTATTACATTTGCATTGCAGAGTTATTTTGGTTGGTGGCTTGCTTCTGGGTACAATTCAAGATGCTGTTCATGACTCACATGCTTCAGGTCTCATTACCTTTGAGGCTACATCCAGATAAATTCTGCCTGCCCAAAACATGCATGCAGAGAATATATCTTAAAATTTCCTACTCCTTATAGGGATCTTTAAGATATATAGAAAAGCTTATTCATAGGCCCCCTCCTATGGAATAGCTTAACCAGTGAGACAAGGAGAAACTCCTTCTCTCTTAAAATTTTGGAGGTAAATAAAATGCTTTGGAGAATGAGCAGAGAAGGGAATGACTAGTATGTTTGTCCTAGGTTTGGAGATGGATACTGTGGGTAATAGGGACTTATTATCATTTGGTTTCTGGTTTGCACCATTTATATTCATTTTTGCTTGAATTATGGAAGTTGGATTTGTTCCATTGAATTAAACCACTTGGATTTGTTTGACTGAAATGGCATAGAATTATAAACAAATGATGAAAATGAGTCATAGGTGCTGCGAGACTATTGGAAAATGGGAAGCCTGCTTGCTACTATACGTAGCAAGTATAACTGAGAAATGTTAAAATATGGATGTGGTCTGCTTATGAAGTGTCTATGTGACTTCATTGTGTGTGTAATGGTCACACTCATGCCGATGGTTGGAAGAATGCCACTATTGTTCCCAGCACACAGGAAAAGTAAGAGTAAATGCAAAAATGACAGGGGCATTAGTGTGCCTTCGAAGGTGTTTAGCAGAATCATTATTGGAAATGTACTGTATATAAAGTGACAATGAGCAAATTTTTACATTTGCTGATTTTAAAAAAAATGACAAAGTGAATTGAAAGGCGATGTTTGGTTGCACAATGCAACAAGAATATATATTGCAAGTAAAACAAGAGTAGGAATAAATAAAATGGTTAGCAAAAGGTTCAATATTGAACAAAGACTAAGATAAGGATGTTTGTCTTTATTGATATAAACTTCCAGAAGCTTGCATGGATTATGGTTGTATGAAATACAACCAGTCAATCAGAAAATGCATGCTGTCCTCTTAGTTGCATAATCTATTTATGGTTAAATATAAAGAATAGTTCTGGTGATGTTAGAGAGTGTTGGATGAGGTTAAGTGTAGATGGGTACTTTGTAAGCAGATGATGCTGTATTGTTGGCTGAGAATTCAAATGATTTGCAGCAAAGGTTAGACAGACTGTTTGATGCAGTGAGGGTGTGTATGTGTGTATGCATATGTATGTGTGCTTTAGAGTCAGATTGAACTCTTGGCAGCTACTTGGAAAAATTCCTGCAGTTTTCTTGGTAACCTTTTCAAAAGTGGTTGAAAAAAATGGTTCTTCCTAGGGCTGAAAGAGAGTGACTGGCCCAAAGTGACCCAGCTGGCTTTATGACTAGAGTCATGGTCTCTCAGTTTCTAGTTTAATATCTTTAACCACTACACTCAACTGGCTCTCATGCAATGAGAAATACATATCTGAAAATTAATGTATTCAAGGCCAAGGTAATTTGTATTTGACAGGGAAAATAGAGTGTGCAATTGCAAGTTATACAAAAATAGTTAAAAACTACAGCAAGTAGATGAATTTTTGTACCTTGGCAGAAAGTTCACTAAAGATGGGAAATGGATGAAGAAATTGTAAGAAGTGCAAATTCATGTTACATGCAGTCTGTAATGAGGAATGAATGTTTGTCAAAAGGAGCAAAAAATGGTAATGCATAAGAATGAGCTCTTTGTTATATAATAGAGCTGGGTATGTCAGGAAAAATACAAAAGTTTTGTAAAGTGGGTGACGAAGCTAAAGTAGGAATATCCAACAGAATGAATGGAATGCAAGTGATGAAAATATCTGTGATGCAACTGAAGGGGAGGAATGCTGGTAGAAATATTTTAGAGATGCATACAGAGATAGTAGTGATATATTGAATGCAGTGGGAATGAGGTACTTAACAGGTGTGTTTGGTAAATGAAGATATGTGTTCATGAATGGATGAATGTGGAATGAATAGATGTTGAAAACAAAAGTGAGTTACCATATGAAAGAAGTACCTTAAGATGGTTTGGTCATAGTGAATGAGATTCAAATCAAAAGAAAAAAAAAATTAAGGAAGAGTGAATGGTCAAGAGGAAGGAGAAGACCAAGAAAGTCAGGTTGGATGATACTGATGAGGTCCTAAAAACAGAGATAATGGGGGGAAAAAACATATGAAGCATTGTTTAGAGCTGAGGGAAGCAAGAATGGCTTGTATGCAAGGATAGAAAGGTGTGGAGAAATAAAGTGAATAATATTGGTGCAAACTAATTTTAGCTAGGTTTCCTTATATTTTTCTTATGTATTTAATTTCTTTGGCTTAGTATTTCTTAATCCTCCTCTACAGACTGTATAACATTTCTTATCCCAAAAAAGAATAGTAGTGCTGGGTATTTATGTATATATGCACTTATTTATATTTGCGAAATAATTATGTTCCCAGTGCAATATTTTTTTCATGAATTAACACATGTATTTGTTCAGTTTTATATAAGGCACAATTTGCATTTTAATTTAATTTCCATTAGGCTGTGACAAACTGATGTTTAAAAAGTCTGCTTATTCTTTTACCATTCTAGCAGTTTATTCCAATCTATTCATCTGTCAAGGTCAAATTACATATTTATTTTTTATGGCTGAAACTGAGGTCTGTATCTGTTTTGTTGTATTCTAAACAGCATGGGCACTATTCCAGACTGGGACCACTGCCTGTGTAATCTTTTCCTCATAACCCCAGTTTGGTCATGAAAGGGATGGAGGGAGACTTAATTAACATCAACATATTTCAGAATCCCTACAATATTATGTTAACTAAAATGAACATTACACATTTATGACATGTTCAATTTAGTATGAAACATGAGGGAATAGGAAGATAGGAATATGACAACATGGCATTGTAAAACTATGTATTATTTCTTACAATGTTGCACAGTATATTGTACTAGTAATGAGAAATTCAACAGGAAATTTAGAACAGGAGTAGGCAATCTGTGTAGCCCAGCTACTGTTTTGGTTCCCAGAATATCCATATCATAGTGCTAACATTCACTGGCAAAAGGGCTGCCCTTTACCAGCAGGATTTGAGCAAAGTTTCACTAAAGTGGACTGACTCTTACAAAACACATAACTCTCCAAAGCTTCCCTAGTAGTGCCGCTATCCGATCTTGCACTCCTTGACACGTGGATCTTTGAAGACCAAATTAATCATTTAAAAGGAAGCTTCCCAAGTGAAGAAATGTTGCCTTCACTATGTTAGGAAAATAAACATTCTGTGAGATATTATATTATAAAATATAGAGAGAGTAAAATGGAATCAAAATAAGATTTTTGTTCCTGGCAGCCTACCAGACCATTGAGAAGTTGGATACATGCATGATAATTTTGTGTCCCTGTACCTAATTTGAAGTATGTCCTGACAGATGAAATCTCAGATAAGTAGTCTTAAAAAAAAAAATCCACCTATAAATTCCTACCGACTGGGAAAGAATCTCTTGTATATTTGTCTGTTGTTTGCAGTATAGTTAGTTGGAGCATAAGAAATGACTTATTCAACTCTATCTACAAATAGTTGATCTCCTCTCTAAATATATTATTAGTGTTCCTTTGTTTCTCCTCCTCCCCCCTTTTTTGCGCTCTTTCTCTCTGTTGATGTATTGCTATGTTAATTATCACTGTTGTTGTTTGTGTATGTGCTGTTTTACTGATTTTTAACAGAAAAGGAAGGTGGGATACATCGTCTGTAATAAATAGAAGGAATAGGTGAGCTTAAGAAGTTTCTGCAAATGCAGCAAGAGAAAGACCTAAAAATGGAGGTGAGATTGATATGTTCTTAATCATCTGTCTGTCTACCTATCTATCTCTGGCCAGCCAGCCAGCCAGCTAGCTATCTGCTATCTCATCTAGTGATTCTAGGTAGCTTATATCATAAACCATAAACACATCACAAATAAAGACATATCAGTAGAAAGCAAGCCAAATTTTTATCTGAACAGTTACTATCAGTCATGCTGAACTCTCCACTCCAAAGGCTTTCTAAAAAAGTACTGTCTTCACAGCCATCTTAAATTATGTAAAGGAAAGGTTCTTTACAACCTTGGGAAGCAGAGTAGTCTAGAATGACGCCAATAGACTGAGAAGCTTTCTCAGTAGTGGGGGAACCCACAGTATGCCCTCTAATTCTATTTTTATTAAGTGGGCAGATTCTACCTGAAGCTGACTATCCCCAAGGAACTAAGGGTTTAAGCCAGAAAAGATACAATTCAAAAGTTTGCATTAAACAGTTAAAGTTTGGTGCCAGTTGGTCGGTACAACTGCATTTTTGCTAGTTGTAGCTTCTGAATCAAGTTGAGGGCTGCCTCATGTAAAGTGAATTACAGTATTCCAAGTACAAGAGGATAAAGATGTAAATTACTGTCACCAAAGCTTCCTTGTTATGAGAGGTTGCAACTGGTGTACCAACAAAAGCTGGACAAAAGCCTTTGTGGCCATAGCCTCCACCTCTCTTACAGAAGGTGTTGTGATTCTACGAGGAGCCCATATTGCACATGTGCACAGGGTAGGGGCACTCTTTAAGAGCTAGGGAGGGAGCTGGCCTGAAACTAGAAGGTTTCTGAACAAACAGCAGGTCTATTTTGCTGTGATTTACTGTAAACCTGTTATGTCCCATTCTGACTTTCACAACCTCCAGGCACTGGGTCAAGACATTCATTACATTTCTTGTTCAACCCTAGATGAAATGTTATCCTCCAACCAATGCGTGAACTTCCCCAGCAGTATTATTGAAAGACTGAAGAGAATGGTGGAGAGGGATGAAACCTGTTCTATTTCAAGGTAGCAGACACAATTGCCAAGAAGCAGAAGCAGATAACAGCAAAGTTGAAAACAAAGACTTAGCAGGTAAAGTACCATTTGTAGTCTGAGAAGCAAAAGAGTAGTCTAGTTACAGTTCCAAAAGTCACAAAGCCAAATTGGGTAGTCAGCCAGTCCAGAAGTCAGGAGTTCAATAACAGGATATACACATGACACAAGCTAGGTTTTCAGATGGTTGTTTTCCAACAGAGAGTGAAGGCAAAGCAAGCTACATAAATCTCTCTGCTGGCAGCTGACAGCAATTATTCAGGTCTCACCCTTTGTTTTGCAAGGAGTCTCCTTGATTTATGCTGTTCTGCTCACCTCTGAGTGCATCTGGATCTGGGGCTTGGGAGTCTTGCCTCATCATCTGACTGCTCCAGCTGATCAGGAGATGCCTGTGGCTGATCAGCCTCAGATGCATAATGCCTTAATGATTCCTGAGGCTGACATTCCACAGACTCAGCTGGAGCAACATTGTCAGAATTAGAGTCAGAGTCAGACTCTGAATTGTGGCTCATGACAAGACCAAGGAGTTCAATCTCTCTTCTGCAACCAACAATTATTATAATCACCTATTCGGAAAAGAGTGAACCCACTCTAAAACAGTGTGTCTAGCTTCCAACCCTCATAGACAACCTAAAAGGATACCATGAGAGATGATAATGTTGCTGAGAGATCAAACAGGATGAGTATAGATGGACTCCCCCCATATAGGTCCTACACAGGTCATCTACAGGAATGACCAATGAATTATCCATCCCATGTTCAGACCTGAAAGTAGGCTGGAAGGGATCTAGATAAGCTATTACATCTATCCATCCTCTGTAATTACTTCCCAACCATATTCTCAACAAATTTCTCCAAAAAGGGAAATTTGAGACAAGCAATACTTGTTAAGGAAGACCAATCCCCATCCCTTGTCTTCTTTATGAAAGCTCACACAAGCCAGTTAGGGCAGGGACCAAGCCTATAGGTAATGAAGTTCATCTCACAAAGAACTCAGGCTACTTCTTCAGAGCACCCAGGTATGAAAGAATCCAGTTAACCTTTCCAGATATTACTTCTTACGTTACATGACATCATATTCTGTTCAGCAAGCATTTAATTCCAAATAAGTATGAGTTATTTTGTTCAAAAATGCCTTGCAAAAAGGTCATAGAAGCCTGAAGGAAGCTCTTCCAACCCACAAAAAGGGAGCAGGTAATCTGAAAGATTGCTGCCAAACAGTGAATACAATCTGGGCAGAAAAATCTTGGCACTTCACTGCCCTTATCAGTACAATGTAGACTCAAACCTGGACTTATGCTCATGTTTGGTGATATTCACACTTGCCAGCATTGCTCCAGATGTCTCTTCTGATGTTTCTTCTCCTAAGAAACGCCCTTGGATTGATGCACAGGGAGTGGCTGCTTTGGCACAATGCTGCCAAGTGCATTCATCTTCTCTGTATTCCAGAGACTGTCTAGGAACTCATCTGTACTGCCCACCAAATTGTTGGGAATGTGTGGCATGCTGGAGACCAATAGGATCTATTAAATTCTTTGGGTGGACCATCTTCAAAAAACCTTCCCACTCTGAGGTTTGGCAGTGCCAACTAACTTCATGGAGGGCAGAAAGTGCTCTGATCATGGCAAAACATGTGTGGTAATATCCTTCAGTTTCAGATCACATTCCAAATACTCTGAAGAAAAGGCTAGGTGTTGTATGTAGCCCCAGTGCATGTCAGGCACACAGATTCAGAAGAAACCCATAGTTTTCAAGAAACCATGAAATCCCAAGTAAACCGGACCAGACAAAATACTACAACCCCAAAAACTGGACAGAATCAATTACTAGCTCAGCAGTAAGGTCAACAGTTCAGGCAGGATGGTGCTGAGCAGCACGGAAGATAGTACACCAATATTTTTTCCAGCTTATCCTTATGCCTCATCTTCAGTCATGTTTGGAAAAGAGTACTTGGTTACCATCAACTTCTCTTTGAGAATCATTGCCAGCCCTCTTCACCAGCTTTGGTTGGGGCTGACAGAGCATATAGTTTCAGCTTATAAATGACTTGTTAACTGCAGTAACTACATTTTACTGCATAATCTCCCAACTGCAATTTGCTACTGTGGTTAATAAAATAATCAGTAATATTTTAAATTTCCAGCTGATAAACACAAGTTGGTAAAAATTCTAACTGTTTGTAGTATTCTGTAACCTTGGTTTAAAAAGGATAGAATTATAGATATATTATTATAAACCTGGGAATGTAGTCAGCAAATATTGTCTTACTTAAATATCCCATTTCCTTTTGAATTAAGATAAAATGCAATATAAAATTGCAACACACTCTTTCGGGATAAAAATAAATGTCCTCTTTTCATGAGACAAAAGGACTTGAAATCTTAAATACCATCTAGATTATTCTAAACATACTTGGGAAAGCAATTAAATCAATGGAATAAATTTATATTTTCTTATAGGTTCTTTCTGTGGAGCTATAAATGCCATACACCATGGTAAATAAGTAAATTATCTAGTTCATATTCTAATCAGGAAAAGAATGCCTGGTATTATTTCCTTTCATGATTAGTTTTTAACTTTCAGTTTTGCTTTTCAAATGTTTTATTTCATTCTACTAATTTTTGAACTTAATCACACTTACCAGCATTCTGTTTCATTCTTACTGAGAAAACATGTTTAATTTCTTTCTCTGTTTTGAATAAGAAAATACAGTAAATAAATAACAAAATGTCCCTCCATGTAAAAATTAGTTTTTTGTTCATTTTTGAATTGTAGTTATATATGAACATTGACCAAGATGTGATTATGGATTGTTAAAAAAAATATCCCTGCCCAAATTCCTCCTCTGATTTAAGAGTTCTGACTCAACCTCCCATTTGCGGTACAGATGCTTGAGATCTGCATTGAAAACATTGCCAGTTAATCAATAAAAACTTATTGGGCAAGGTGGGGGGACCCTTAACACTAAATTTTCACATGGAGGGACATTTTGTTATTTAGTTTTTTTTTTAATTTACATAGCCCCCCATCTCAAATATATGACTGTGGGAGGCTCACAGCAATTAAAAACAATATAAAAAACAATAAAAAACTTAGATATAAAAATGGTATAAAATCATATAAAAACCATATAAAACATATGCTCCATCCATAGCTGAAGTACCCAAAATCCATCAAAAATAATCAGCACAGCCACCGTGGATAACCCTGCATGCTGCTTTATAGCACTGCTTTGAAGGCTGCCCAACAGATAAAAATATTGTTTATATAAGATGGTTTATGTCATCTGGAGAAGCTTTTCACAAACTTCCTTTTATCAGCAATTTGTGTTCAATAACACAGATTCACTGAGAACATTTCACATATGTTCTGACATAACCTGATGGTACATATTCTGAAACTGTTAGCTTCTTATATTATGCCTGCTTAAAATACACATATACAAGCTCTCCACTTATTAATTTGTTCTCTGATTCTTTTCATGCCCTGGATGTTGCAATGAAATGATTGAAGAAAATAGTCTTGACTATTTTCTCCACATTATCTACAATGCTTTCATTAACCATGATATTATTTTTCAAGTATTGTTTATGAAAACATTTGACTTTAAAATAGCTTTAGGAAATGAGATTAATTTTGCAGTATGTTGTTCAGTTCCTCATACAAAGCATGGTGTGTCCCCATTGCTTGTCTTCTTTATTTGTCAGGCACTAGCCAATCCTTAATTCACGTTTGTTTCTTTTTTAATTAGATTTGTTTTGGGTTAGCTTATCATATCAAAAGAAAAGAAGTCTAAATAGTTAGCTATTGCATAGCTCCACTAGCACTTCTGCCTGCCTCACTCTAAGGCTGGAAAAACTTGCAAAAACCTAAACATATTTGCAAACCTTTACAGCCTTATAAATGAGCTGAGAAGAACAGAGAGTTCCTTTCTAAGGCCTCTCCAGCCCTGCTCAGCACTTAGGATATTGTGCAAGAACTTGCTGAGGCTGAGAGAGAAAGAAGAATATCTATAGTTACAAACCATCAGCAGATTGGAGAGGTCACTACAGACTTATAAAAGAAATTAATTTTTAGCCCGTCATGTAAACAGTCTGGGGGAGAAAAATTGAAAAGCTTCAAAGAGACCCCACCTTAATGAACTCACTAATAAAAGAGGGCTGGAGGGTTCCTGTATCAGTTCTCAAGATTCTGTACTCTAGCCACTAATTCTTGGCATTAAACTCATTACTAGAAAGTCCATGTGAATCTTGCTTCCTTGATCATGCTCTACACTATTGGAGCTTGTCTGATAAATACAGAAAAGATCTTGGAATTATTGATTGAAGCAGAATATGCCTGTGATATGATATGGCTGCAAAAAAGACAAATATATGTTTACTCTGCATCAGTAGAACCATAACTGCAACATCATATCAATTAATAGTTCTATTCTACTCTAACCCTAATCCTAACTTTTCCAGCTTTTACTTATACCTTTAGTGAATAGCAGGTACAACAGGAACCTTAAACACTAAGTGGGATGGCTCAGGACCAGCAATCCTCTTTTCCCATAATAGACTGAACAGTCTTGTTAAAAGGGCAGTACATTTCCAAAATTCCATACATACTAAACTCAACTTTCCTAACTTCCTTGCAAATGCATAATACTACTTGGCATGGCATAGAGTTCCAGGTAGCAGTTCCTCAAGGCCCCTTCCTTTTGAACTGGATCTCTAATCAGCTTCTCTCAGCTTTTCTTCCGCTTGGCCCTCCCTTTTGAAGAAAGTGAGAGTCTGCTTCAAGTAATCTGTCACCTAACCTTGATGATCATCAAGCAGGTTCCTTTGTACCCTAGGATAAAATTCATCTGGCCATGCAGATTTAAACTCATTCAGAGTGACCAAGTTTCTGTGAGTCAGAAGTTTCAGTTTTACTGCTCTTCAAATATTCTCTCCTCAGAGAAGACTGAACTAAAAGAGGATTATGTAATTCTGCCTTTTCTTTGTTACCAGTAACATTGTGTGATCTGCATTGAGCAAGTGGTTCATGTCTTGCCT